AAAGGTATATATGTGCCCACGTGGACACATTATTATTTATAATTTTGCATTATTTTTTTTGTCCACGTGGGCAAATATATATGTTTAAAATACGGTATTAAATAGTTTAGGGAGGTAATAGGTCCTCATGAAAGTTTAGTATCGCAACAGCAAATCCGACCAAAGTTGAGGTATTTTTCAGACCCTTATCCCTTAAAAATAATTTTATTGTGGAAAATTTAAATAAATGAATATTAGATTAAAAGTTAAGGTAAAAGGTTAAAAAACCATATAACTTAATTTATTCCAACTGTGACATCCACTATGTACTTTTCTGCCTTGTTAGCCATACTAGTCTCGTCTCTAAAGTGGCATCGATATCTCCTTTTTAAAAAATCAATTAAAATATATTAAAAAAATTATTGTGTTAACTATATATATATACCACCCACACCTAAGGGTTATCAAAAGATACCCCTTTGCCGAAAAATTACATTGTATATAAATGTCAAATTTTGATTTAATAAGTATTGACACCTCTTAACCCAAATTGAAGGTTTAGTCTAGTGGTTAAGGTATTGCGAAAATTCCTTGAGGTTGTGTGTTTTGGTGCTTCTAGTCTCATAATTATTATTTTACTACAATTATCTCTCTTTAATGAAAATCCTAGCTTCGCTATTATTTTTGAACCTTACTTCAATGGATTAGCTATTTTGTTCAAATTATTAAATAATTTTAATCTACATAAGATTGATTATACTATAAGAAATGAGTTTACATCATTTAAAAATAAATTTTAGAAAGTGAATTTGTGTATACATACAAATACATACATATCATCTCAATTCTCAAGATGGATACCCAATACTATAATAAGTGACACTGAAAAATATAACAATCTAACAGAACTTGAATGATACTTTCTTTTAAAAAAATTGAATATTGAAATTGTATTTAAACATAATTTCACTTGAAAATAAAATATTATTTCACTTTAATACATTACTATAAATAAATATATCATAAAGTACTACGTACTACGTACTACTTATTTATTTATTTTTAAATCTTGGGAGATCAATTTTTTTTTGGGCAACAGTGTTTTAATAATAGGTAGAGTCACCGACCCCAAATGCCAACAATATTATAGATTCCAGCTGTACACGGACTTTTCAAATCCCACGAGTTTTTTTTTTCCTTTTTATTCGGAGAAGTTCTACTGGCTTTCCACTAATATTTTATAGTATCTTCTTCTCCAAGAAATTAAAGAAGAGAAAACATGAAGAAGTACAGATCAGTGAAAAATGCTTCTAGAAAACAGATACACATTGGCAAATCAAAGGCACATTACTGTATGATTTTCTGCAAGAAACATCCCAAGCATCGTCAGTCTTCAGGAGTTTGCTCTGTTTGCTTAACAGAAAAACTCTCTCCACTTTCAACAAGTAATACTGGTACTGTTACTTGTTGGATTCATCATAGAATGGCGTCTCTCTTGAAGGGTATTAGGTCCCTCGCCGCTTGTATTAAGAGACAAAGAGGGGCAGATCATGAAAAAGGGTTTTTCTATAGATTGCTGCATTCAAGAAGAAGAAACAAGAAAGATTCAGAAGGTTTGGTACATGAGAGAGAGGTTCAAACCAAAATTCGGGATCGCAAATGCTCTGTCCCCCGTTTCAAATTTGACTTGCTGTACTACAAGATATGAAATTCCCTTTTCAATAGAATTACTCTATTCGTTTATTTGATTGTTGATTGTTTACTCATTGAAAGGAGGATTAATGTGTATATTGTATGCTCTTTTTTGAGTATTTTTCTCTGTTTGATAATTCTTTTCCCATAGCATTGGGTCTGATCCTTAAGGGTGCTAATTAACTTGTATTTTTAATTTTATGAAAAAATATGTATAGAGTTTAAAAGGTGTAGCTTAAACTGAAAATCCCCAGATCCGATTTTGGTGGTTATGATGAAATATAATGGGGAAAATAGGAAGACATAAAGAGGACGAATAACAGAAAAGAGAATATTCGTCCGGGACATTAGCAATGCTACTTCTTTGCTAACCTCTAATTAACCAAATATCACCTTCACAATACCCCAAACAAATTATAACAGTCATTCTACTATTTGAACAACAATTTGTCAATCATCAAAACGCAATAAAATTACGAGTAACAATATATTTTGCAGTACTTGATACGGAGTAGATAGATTGTTTTTGTTTGACAATATTTTGGAGACTCCATTAGCTTGTTTTTGTTTTCTTCAGGTCAGTCCTTTTCTTTATTCACTCTGCAATTACGTTCTTGCATGGTATCCTCTTTAATTAATTAAGAACACTTGCATGTCCATGGATTTAACTTTTTATTTCCTACTCCAAGTTGTAATTAATTGCCTTTGAATTTATTCATTTTTTTTTTGTCAAGTGCTCCAGAAAGTTGTGATTTGCTGTTATTTATGCTGTTGTATGTTGAATTCTAATTTGTTCTTCCCAGTTGAATTTCTATTATTCCATACATATGAACATTGAAGGAACCAGGATTTTCATCCAGGGTAGTCAAACTATAGTAAAAAAATAAAAACACAAAGAAGTGAAAAGGGGATTCAACATATACTTTACATATATTATGAATTTTCCTATTAATTACATAGTGCAATTTTCCATCCAAGACACCCCTTGGAAAAGAGTGGCTCGGCCACTGTATACCAAGTACCTTATGACCATGTATACATCTACGTTTAAGCATATAAACTAATTAAACAGTAACTTAACTTATATACACCAACAATATAATTAAAGAATTTATACACCATCAGTGCATGCTATAACCAAGTGTCACAGGTCGGTTAATTACCTTATTTTTCAGGTAACTAATTCACACTTATAGGGATCAGTTACAATTATCTCTGATATGACTTGACAGGTCAATAATATGTGTCAGTGTATAAAATAGAAGTTAAACTCGTTAAACTCATTAAACACTCCCCATGAATCTTTCTTGTCTTTCTCATACTTACCTTAAGCTTATAGTAGCAGCGCCGGAGGTAGAGTGGTCCTCTTTCACAGTGATAAGCTTTATCCACACATATAAAAGATAGACATAAAGTACCTAACATGTTGAGTTTTTTCCCTCTTAATTACTGTTCACAACATTCTTTCTAGTCATAATTGATTTTGGAGTTGTTTAGGGATGATTTTTCAATTTGGGAGATAGTTGTCTCCTTACCCCCTTTACCAGTTCAAATGCATTACATGAAGTATATCTTCTCTCCTTCCTACAATGTTATTACTACTGTAATCTTTATTTATATAGTACTGGTTATGGTGTTATACTAGAGTGGCTCTTCATTAGTATATATGCTCTTGGTAGACATCTTGGCATCATGAGTGAATTGTCTTTTCACTTGAGTCTATACAAATGAAAGTAAAATTTGCAGGGAAAAGGAATTGGACAAGGAAATGAAGGACCTCTGGACTGTGTTTTGTGGGGCACCTGGTTGTTCGGACAACAATGGAAAGCTTTGCCATACTGATTTTGGGTCAATGACAGATCCTTCATCCTGTATCAATCATGTGTTGATAATTTGTTTTGATGTTATACTTTTGCTCGTCTTCTTATTCAATCTGTTTTCCAAGGCATCCATAAGAGCTACGAATATTCCTGCTCACTTTCATGGGTTTTCACGTTTGCAGTTGATTTCTGCTATTTTTAATGGCTTCCTAGGATTGTTATATTTGGCATTTGGCATTTGGATTTTAGAAGATAAGGTGATGAAAACCCACAGTTCATTACCTCTACACTGGTGGTTATTAATCATGTTTCACGGAACAACATGGTTATTAGTAAGTTGTACCACAAGTCTTCGAGGAAAATATTTCTCAAAAACCCCTCTGAGGCTTTTGTCAATTCTTGCTTTTATCTTTGCTGGGGTTTCTTGCGGTTTCTCTCTCTTTGCTGCCGTTTTTGTCAAAAGGGCATCATTGAAGATAGCTTTAGATATATTGTCTTCCTTAGGAGCATGTTTATTGTTGTTATGCACCTATAAAGAGCTAAAGCAGGAAGATGTCATTGGAAATGACCTTTATGCTCCCTTAAATGGAATCAGTAAAAGTAATTCTGTTAGCTGCATCACTCAATTTGCTAAGGCTGGAATCTTGAGTAAAATGTCATTTTGGTGGTTGAATTCGCTGATGAAGAAGGGGAAGAAGAAAACTCTTGAGGATGAGGACATACCTAGATTGTGTGAGGCAGATCGTGCAGAATCATGTTACTTAATATTTGAGGAGCTATTGAACAAACAGAAACAAGTTGATCCCACTTCCCAGCCATCAGTTTTGAAGACAATTTTCATATGTCACCGGAAAGAGATTATTGTTACAGGATTCTTTGCACTGTTGAAAGTAGTCACTGTGTCAGCAGGTCCTTTGCTTCTTAACGCCTTTATTAAGGTTGCTGAAGGAAATGCAAGTTTCAGAAATGAGGGACTTTTCTTGGCCATTCTGCTTTTCACTTCAAAGAGCTTGGAGTCCGTAGCACAAAGACAGTGGTATTTCAGGTGCAGACTAATTGGTCTAAAAGTGAGGTCTTTACTTACAGCAGCTATTTATAGGAAGCAAATTAAATTATCTAATGCCGCCAAATTGATGCATTCCAGTGGTGAGATTATGAACTATGTTACTGTGGATGCTTATCGTATTGGAGAGTTTCCTTTTTGGCTGCATCAAACCTGGACAACAACTGTCCAGCTCTGCCTCGTACTTATAATTCTCTTTCACACTGTTGGTGTTGCAACTATTGCATCCTTGGTAGTGATTATACTCACTGTGCTGTGCAATACTCCCCTTGCAAAGTTACAGCATAAGTTCCAGACCAAGTTACTGGTTGCACAAGATGATAGGCTAAAAGCTATTTCTGAGGCTCTTGTTAGTATGAAGGTTCTAAGATTATATGCATGGGAAGCCCATTTCAAAAATGTTATCCAGATTTTGAGGCAAGTAGAAGAAAAGTGGTTATCAGCTGTTCAGTTACGTAGATCATATAATAGCTTCCTTTTCTGGTCATCTCCTGTTTTGGTTTCTGCTGCTACTTTTGTGACTTGTTATTTCCTTGGTATTCCACTAAATGCGAGCAACGTTTTTACCTTTGTTGCAACTTTACGCCTGGTTCAGGATCCCATTAGAACAATTCCGGATGTTATTGGTGTGGTAATTCAAGCAAAGGTCTCCTTTGAGAGGATTGTCAAGTTCCTTGAGGCATCTGAGCTGGAAATGAGACGGGAATGCATCAGAAGCACAGATCATGCTGTACTCATCAAATCAGCTAATCTCTCATGGGAAGAGAGTCCATCGCGACCAACTCTCAGAAACATTAATTTGGAGGTTAAACCTGGTGAGAAGATTGCTATATGTGGGGAAGTTGGCTCAGGAAAGTCATCTCTTCTGTCAGCAATTCTGGGAGAGGTTCCAAGTATACAAGGAACAGTAAGTTGTAATGGCTGGTTCCTTCTTTCCTAGTGGGTTAGGTAATAAGAAGCAGGATTAAAGTTTTCATTGCAAGCATAATGATAATATCGGTTTACCAAAGTTTGAGAAAAATTCAGTATCTATGACTGATCCTTAATATTATCTGTTATCTGCAGGTTCAAGTATATGGAACAACTGCCTATGTCTCTCAATCAGCATGGATTCAGACAGGGACAATACGAGAGAATATTTTGTTCGGTTCTCCATTGGATAGCCAGAGATACCAGCAAACCTTGGAGAAGTGTTCACTGTTAAAAGATCTCGAGATACTACCTTATGGTGATCTCACGGAAATAGGAGAAAGAGGAGTCAATCTTAGTGGTGGACAAAAGCAGAGAATTCAACTTGCTCGTGCTTTGTATCATGATGCGGATATATATCTCTTGGATGATCCCTTTAGTGCTGTAGATGCCCATACCTCGACTAGCCTATTCAATGTAAGCATTTCTTTAGTGATGTGATTCTTGTCGTTTCTTTCCATTTGCAAGCTCAATTGATCCTATGCAGGAATACATTATGGGAGCTCTTTCCAGGAAGACTATCTTACTTGTGACCCATCAAGTTGATTTTCTTCCTGCATTCAATATGGTTCTGGTGAGTTTTATCCATGCAGTTCTCTTTCCAATTTGACTTTTGTCATTTCCTCTCTCTTGTCTCTCTGTTATTCTAGTGTGTCTCCTCTGGTTGAATTGATCTTTTAAAATTATGTGTACAATTATCATGCTTGTATTCAATAGAAAACCAAATCTTTTCATATGTTCATATGAAATTGTTGCATATATATATCTACTTTGGTTTGCAGTTAATGTCAGATGGAGAAATTTTACGCTCAGCTTCATATGATCAGTTATTGGCCTCGAGCAAAGAATTTCAAAACTTGGTTAATGCACACAAAGAGACTGCTGGTTCAGAAAGGGTTTCGGAGGCTTTTTATTCGCCAAGAAGTGATACTTGTTCAAGAGAAATTAAAAATAAGGATAGTGGTAAACAACCAAAAACCTCTGGAGGAGATCAGTTGATCAAGCAAGAGGAGAGGGAAGTTGGAGACACTGGATTTAAGTCTTATGTTCAGTATTTGAATCAAAATAAAGGATACTTGTTCTTTGCCATAGCTGTTGTTTCGCAACTTGCGTTTGTGGCCGGTCAGATATTACAAAACTCCTGGATGGCTGCAAATGTTGAAAATCCTGAAGTTAGCACTTTGAGACTGATTTCAGTTTACTTGCTAATTGGATTTGTATCCACACTTTTTTTGCTCTCTAGATCTCTATCAACTGTTCTTTTGGGTTTGCAATCTTCAAAGTCCTTGTTCTCACAGCTACTAAATTCTCTCTTCCGTGCACCTATGTCATTTTATGACTCCACACCTTTGGGAAGGATACTAAGCAGGGTAATTATCTCAAACAATTGAGAGAAAAATGATACTTATCAAGTATTTTCATGTAGCTAACCATTTTTCCTACATTTTCATTTCCCGTCCCATTATTGCAGGTCTCATCAGATTTGAGTATAGTTGATCTTGACGTCCCATTCTACTTGATTTTTGCGGTTGCATCTACCACAAACTTTTATTCTAATCTTACAGTACTAGGTGTTGTTACTTGGCAAGTTTTGTTTGTCTCCATCCCAATGGTTTATGTGGCCATTCTCTTACAGGTACTAGTTATATTAGGGGAATAAGGAAGTTTGATTCTGTGCTTCCAGCTGACAAACCGATAAATCATGAATTAGTATTTTTTTGGTTCATTATTTTTTCCACAGAGATACTACTTTGCATCTGCCAAAGAGTTGATGCGGATCAATGGAACTACCAAATCATTTGTGGCCAACCATCTTGCTGAATCCATTGCTGGAGCTGTGACTATAAGGGCATTCAAGGAGGAAGAGAGATTTTTCGTGAAAACATTTGAACTAATTGATATAAATGCCAGTCCTTTCTTCCACAATTTTGCAGCAAATGAGTGGTTGATTCAACGGCTGGAAACTATTAGTGCAACTGTTCTTGCTTCCTCAGCACTTTGCATGGTTTTACTTCCTCCTGGGACTTTCAGCTCTGGCACGTTAATCAACTCATTATATGCTTGGAATTGGAAAGAAAAGCGCATATTTCTTTTTTCTTTACCTTTGGTCATTATGTAAAACATAATTTACTTACTAATACCTGTTAATGTTATTGCAGGATTTATTGGGATGGCTTTATCTTATGGTCTTTCCCTAAACATAACCCTTGTTTCTTCCATTCAATATCAGTGCACTTTGGTGAACTATATCATTTCTGTGGAAAGACTTAACCAGTATATGCATATACCAAGTGAAGCTCCTGAAATTTTAGAAGAGAGCCGTCCCCCAGTCAATTGGCCTTCGAGGGGTAAGGTCGAAATTCAAGATTTGCAGGTAAACTTCATCATCTGCACTAATTTTCAATCTTTTGGTATGTTAAACATACTAATGAGCATGCCTCAAAGTAGATAAGATATAGGAAGGATTCCAGACTTGTTCTTAGAGGGATCAGCTGTACATTTGAAGGAGGTCATAAAGTTGGTATTGTTGGACGAACTGCCAGTGGAAAGAGTACACTCATTAGTGCACTATTTCGACTAGTGGAGCCTGCAGGTGGAAGGATTGTGGTTGATGGAGTAGACATTTGTAAAATTGGTCTTCATGATTTGAGGTCCCGTTTCGGGGTAATACCTCAGGATCCTACTCTTTTCAATGGAACAGTGAGATGCAATTTAGATCCCCTATGTCAGCATACTGACCACGAAATCTGGGAGGTAATGTACTTCGCCACTATTTTTAGCATTAGTTGATATATAGCATAGCTTTTTTCTGATTACTTGTATCATTTATTTTTACTTATATCATTTTTATCTTCATTGTCAAAGGTTCTTGGGAAATGTCAGCTACACGAGGCAGTTAAGGAAAAAGCAAAAGGGCTTGATTCCTTGGGTAATCTTCTGAACATGTCTGGTTGTTTTATACCAGTGGATTTTTATTGACCATGGACTCATTTCAGTTGTAGAAGACGGGTTAAACTGGAGCATGGGGCAGCGACAACTGTTCTGTTTGGGGCGTGCTCTTTTGAGGAAAAGCAAGATTCTGGTGCTTGATGAAGCAACAGCATCAATTGACAATGCCACCGACATGATATTGCAAAAAACTATCAGGGAGGAATTTGCTAACTGTACTGTTATTACAGTTGCCCATAGAATACCCACAGTAATGGATTGTACAATGGTTCTGGCCATTAGTGACGGTAGGATCTATCTGTTTACTTTTGAATACTTGCAAACATATTAGTAGTTCAGAGAATGTCAATCCCAAAATGTTATCCCCATGACTTACTTTTGGTTGCTGTAATACAGGAAAATTAGTGGAGTATGACAAACCTATGAAGCTGATGAAGAATGAAGGTTCGCTCTTTAGGAAGCTTGTTAAGGAGTACTGGTCTCATTATCACTCAGCGAAATCACATTGAAGTAAAGTGCAGATCTGTAACACATTCTGTGGTGCATCAAACTTCACAAACGTTGCCTAATTGCAACCCCAATCAGTCCATTGAGAGAATCACTAAACTCAATGTTGGTCTATCTATGGCATGGATATGTGATTTTTCTCTAAATGTTAGTGCATAACTTGTTGTAGGCTGTTGACATCGGGAAGGTTAAGTATGCAGTGGGCTAAACCAACTGCAGCTTACTAGCCTTAGCGTACCGATTTTCTTGATTTTGTAAACAGGTTTTATTTAGGCATGCTAGCAAAGTCTTTTTTTGAGGGTCATAAATGTATAATCTTCCAGTATTATGAATGAAATTCTTTGCACCTTCCAATCTTCACTTTAGCTGTTAAACACACAAAAAATCACCTCTAATCCTACTTTTACATTGCTCTCTAAACACACTCATTTTACTAATCCTCCATAATACACTATGAAATCTTCAACAGTGAATCAAATTTAACTTTTCTCCTAAACTTGATTAGGATTCAGCTGGTAATTTCAGTTGGGAAGTCCCACATTGGGAGTTAAGCACTCTCCAACAAGCAACTCCCAGCCGGGTTTGAGCAGACCTTTGGTTAAATATAATCACTACTTACTAGCTACTGTTGGATAGTTTGGTAGTGGATATGATCTCATTACAGTTATTTTCATATACTACTATAAAAGAAACCGAAAAAGAGATAGTGACGAATTATACAGAGGAAATGGTGGAGATATCTTAGAGACCAGAGGAATTGAGTGAAATTAAACAATAAAACAAGACAGTGAGTTCTTGCAACGTGTATGGTGTTGTAGCAACACATGATACAAAAGTGGTTGTGTTCCCTTCTTATTCTTTTTCCGGGACTTCTTTTGGGAGACGGGGAATGAATAATCAATGATGATACGATTACTTAATCCTAGGAAAAACTGTGTTCGATTTCACCTTCAACTATCTAGGTGACATACTGGAGTGACTGCATGTAGCATTAGATGATGGATGAGTAGCAATGGAGAAAGAACTGTACTGATTGAGTTCCCTCTTCATTGCCTTGTATACTTGATCTAAGCCTTCCTCTATTAACTCCAAAACTGTCTGTGGCATTGGTGGCATATTCATGTCAACTGATCCTTCCAACATCTTCACCACTTCTCCCATGGAAGGCCTGTTTGACACTTCATCCTGAATACACCAGAAGGCGACCATCAGTGCTCTCGTTACCTCTTTTTCCTCTACTGCTCCTCTAAGTCGCCTATCTACAACTTTTACGGGTGTTCCACTAGTCATCTCCTGAAAAAAAGGAGAAAGATAGTGAAGAGAACATGTACCAGAAAGGAGGGAACACTATGAATACAATTAGAGGATTGCGTGTGTACCTTGTAAGCCCATCCAGGATAAAAGAAGTCATCTGCATCACAAGTCATATCAAGATTTCTCCGACCACCAATGATCTCTAGAAGAAGCATGCCATAGCTGTAAACATCAGCTTTTACAGTGATAGGTCGATTGCTGACCCACTCGGGAGCTAAATAACCTCTCGTTCCTCGGATCATTGTGACAACATGAGAGTGCTCTCTTCCCATTAACTTAGCTAGTCCAAAATCAGATACTTTAGGGCAGAAATTCTCATCCAGAAGTATGTTTTCTGGCTTGATATCACAATGTATAATTCTGTTCCTACATTGCTCATGAAAATAGGCTATCCCTTGTGCAGTGCCAACTGCTATGCGAAAACGTGACGCCCAATCCAGTAGTCTATTTCTTGTACTAAATGAATGAAATATCCACTTGTCTAATGAGCTATTTTTCATGTACTCATACACTAGTAGCCTGCCAAAGAGTGAAAATTTTAGTGAAAGTTGTGCTAGTGCTTGACTGTAATGCTACAATTCTACGTACTTCCCAATCTATACATCACAAATTACAATGAAAAAAAGTTAAAACTTACCGTTGGGTTCCCTCAGAACAGTAACCGCATAGACGAACCAAGTTCAGATGATGCATAGAGCCAATGGTTTTGACCTCTGTTATAAATTCCTTCTCCCCATGAGGTGAAACTTTATCAAGTTTCTTTACTGCAATCAATGTTGCATCCTTTAAACTTCCTTTATACACACTTCCAAATCCACCTGTCAAAGCAGCAATGTTACTGATCATATTCTTACCTTATCTGAAAGAGAACAGTTTTCTGTGCTTGTTATTTCTATAGTTGAGAGGTTAGTATCATAGAAGTAATAAAAATTCTATATCTTTACCTGTTCCAAGTAACTCGGAAAAATTGTTAGTCCAACATTGCAGGTCGCGGTAGCTGAAGCTAATTGGAGCTCCAGACAACAGCAAAGATCCCTCAAGTGCCCTTCTCATAGATCTTCTCCTATGGATATTGATATACAATAAACAACAGAGAAGCAAAATGAGAACAGTCATACTCAGGACTATAGGAAGTACCAAAACCTTATCGTGCCTACTCTTCGACTCATCTGATGAATTCCCAGGTTTTTCAGATACCGAGGCATTGGCCTCAACCTTCACAAATAAGGTCGAAACAGGATCCTCAAATCCACCAAATTCCAAGCTCCTGAGTAACCAACAATAAGCCTTTTCCTCACTAAGTCCATAAACAGATGCAACACAACCACAGTTTGATAAGCAAGCATCACCACATTTGGACAGTGACCCTTTATCGCTATAATTTCCTATAACAGATGATTCTGAGAAATAATAATTCGTTTTCTGAACCGTAGAAATCTTGAACTGGGACATCATATTTTCATGCTGAGGTCCACATTTCCCTGTCACTGAAGGATTTCCCGAACATGAAACATCATCTCCCTCCGTAGAAGTCCCTGGCAAACATGTGCAAGAAGCATTTGTTTTGCTTCTGTCTAAATTACATATCCCATTGCCACAAACTCCAGAAATATCACATGGATTAGACACAGCTGCCCACTCTGGAACCCATTGCCTTGATCCATTCACATCATTATCCCATCGATACAAACGTAAATTTCCATTAACCTCAAGGGTTAATCGACGAAGAATAGATGGAACATTGGAATTCGTTTGATTTACAGCCGATGATAGTCCTCCATAATCTCCATCATTTTTATATACATAAACTGCTCCATCTGAAGATGAGCCATAAACTATACCAAAGCTTCCTGCTTTATCCAATACTGCAGTAACATCTCCAGTCACATTTGATATTTCAGGTCCTGACCAATAAGAAAAATTGCTGTAAAATTCAGGCGATGAATCGTAGTAGTTGGGGACATTATAGGTCAATGCAAGACTTAGTGAAGTAGGCTGCTGCAACATTTTTAAAGTGTAGTAACCACCATGAGAAGGTAATTTTGATGATGTTAATTCTAGTGACACTGTTAAGGATTGACCAGGCAAGAGAGTATCAGATGGATGTGAAAAGCTTTGCCATGCAATGGTACTTAGATTGGTGCTGTAGAGAATGAAGTTGCCATTTTCAGACATGACAGCCAACTCAACGCCTGCTTCCGAGGTGTTTGATGCCCACACTGTGGTGTCTCCATCCATCAACAAGAGATTTCCTGTGGTGCCAAACTCCAAGATTGCATCTTTGCTGACTGGGGAATTTCTATTTAGAGGATTGACACAAAATGGCCAAAAAGTTATATTACCTGCAAAATCTTTATTAAAAACTAGAGGTGGAGGTATATTTTCTTCTTTGTTCCTTCTCTAAAATCAGACTTTAACATTGCTAATCTATAATTCCATACTTACATCTACCTCTTGAATATTTTCAAGAACTTGTTATTCACCATAAAATCTCAAATCTTGAACTTTGAAAGAAAAGCAACCCCTAAAGCTGGAATGGATTTCGTGTGTGTCAAAAAGTTAATGAAGAGAAGCTACAGTTTGATCATGCAACTTTTCCTCCTACTAACATATGCAGATCTAGAATTTCACGTATATATCTATGTTCTGTGTCGAAAATATAAAGCTTATATCAATAAAGATATACTACCTAACAAAACCTTATAAGTAAGAGGGGAGCTAGGAAGACACAAGGAGGTTCATGCAAACTGCCTTCGATGGTAAATTACACCACATATACAACGTCAAAATTAAATTTTAGGTACATATAGCAAATATTAAATCTCTTTAATTTCTTTGTGTTATTCATTTTTTGTATATTTTGAATCTCCTTAGTGAAAACTCAGACTCCACCACTACTTATAAGGTGCATACAACTTAAACACCTAAGTGATAAGCTAAGCGAATTCGATCATTAGTTGAGAAGGAGTTTTACACTTACATATTAGGAGACCAAACAAGTGTTCTGTCTCCTGGTATTTGTGCAAACCAAATTGCCAACTGATATTGATCATTAGAGTCCACTGCTGGGGTGAAGCCAAAAGCAAAAGTTCCATTGTCAGAAAACCATGCTTGGTTCTCTTTAGCTAACAATCTTGAACCCAAAATAACACTACCAGACACTACACAGACATGAAGCTCTGCTACAAACAGTAACAGCAGAGCCAAAACAGAGGAAATGAAACAGAGAGCCATATGTTGCAAATTGGAAATATGATTCTGTTTCAAGAAAATCAACTCAACAATTTAATAGACTTCGGGGTCCTTATTTTCAAATTTTGAAGTTAAGTATGTGGGGAAGTAAAGAAGAAATTATAATTCAGAACAAGTGTACAAAGGTGGTTGGTGAGTGAAGGTGAACTACAAAGTTGACAAATGATCAAATTATTAGAATAGTCGGTTCTGCCATTTGGCGGCACGTGTCTTGTTCAATTTCTTTGCTGCTTTCAAACTATAAAAGGATTGAAAATAACTGAATTTGTCCAACTAGACTGATGTTAATTCTTGATTTCACACTTTGCCATTAGCATTTAGCAACAGATAGGTATTCTGAGTAAACTCAAATTTGGTCTCATAACTCGTCTTTATTGTATCAATTGAACACGTCAACTTACAAAATAATTATTTAGATATTTTCAAAATTTATATGCCCCAGTAACGTTGGATGTCCACAAGACACAATAAAAACAAATTGGAGTATTTTATTACTAGTTGATATCAAGTTAAAGTGTCTAGATATGCACACTCATAATTGAATTACTTGTCAAAGACCAAGTTTAAAAGTTTGTTTATATATTATGTCAAAGTAAAATTAAAAGAGTTTTACTTATGGCAATTGAATTTGAACTCTACATGCAGAAGCTATATTGCTTGGACTTTTTATAATTACAGTCGTAGCGTGTTAAATTCTTTAAAAATACACAACTTTTGAGAGGTTCCGACAAGCATCCAATGACATTTTAGATGAGTCCGAATAACATAATCCATAATGGTTATTTGTGAATTAT